AGGGGGGGGGGGGGGGGGGGGGGGGGGGGGAGCGGCTCGGCCACATTAGGAGGGCGCATGCTGCAAGGCAGTGTTGGGAGGAGGAGGGGGGGGTGCCGCTTCTTTTGCTTGTTTCAGAAGGAGTCGGGAGGCTGGTGGCAGAGGGCAGCATGGGGAGTGGTTCAGTCCTTGTCAAGGCTCCCTCTAAGCTGCGGAGAGTCCTGTGAGCAGAAATTCTATTTGCATTAAAGCTATGAGCAGGTGATTTGGCTACTGCACAAATTAGTTTGCTCTGGAGCCCTCCTTCCTGAGCTAAGGCACAAATATGTGAGCCAGAGGCTAAAAAACTCTGAACCGGCTCACACTAACTCAGCTTAGAGGGAACAGTGGCCTTATCACTCTTTTCTACTTGGCAACTCACTCTGGATCTGTCTTGAACGGGGGACGGGGCAGCGGGTCGCTCCTGTGGGAAGCACAAAGCCAGTGTGAGGTGTGGACTGGGTGGCTGGTGGCCGGGAAGACTTGGAAGCAGGGCTGGGGAAGGGGCGGCTGCTCGGGCCCGCTCCCCCCCCCCCCAGAGTAGCTCTTTGTAATGCACTCAAAGGAGAGGGGGCTGTGTGGGATGGCGCTGCAGCCCTGGTGTCAGCCCAGAAACGCCCTGCTCTGGCAAGGGGCCTGGTTTCCCTCGGAGCGGAGGGGGGTCAGGCGCGGAGCACAGGGGAGGCGTGGCGCTGCCTTGCCGTTCACCTCTGAGGTTCCGCTGAGGAGCTGCGGGCAGGAGCCGGCTTGTCTGCCAGGAATGTTGCTCCCTCGGGCCCAGAGTGCGGCACCAGCCCAGCCTCGCGCCACAGGCTCCTTTGTGCGCTTCCTCGAAAGCTTTGGCTGGGGACCTCGGGGTGTGGTGGAGATGCACCTCGGGGAGATGCGGTGCTCAGGCGCATGGGCAGCGGCTGCTGTGGGTTCCGGTGCAGGGTTGTGCCCCCGGGGGTTCCTGGGGCTCTGGAATGCCCTTCCGCTGCCCGGGGCCTTGGTCTGGTTTGTCCCGGGAGTCCCTCTGTGCTGCCTCACCCGGTTGCCGCCGCCTCCTCGGACCGGACCGGACCGGCCTTTGCCTTTTCTTGGTGGCTGCCGTCTTCTGGTTGCCGCTCTGCCGCCTCTCACGTGGCCTTGGCACGGCACTGTTTCCTGGGGAACGTCTGGCAGCCAGAGGGTCTCCCTGGAGGAGGGGTCCTGGGGCCACAGACACAGAGCAGTGGAACTGGCTGCCAGGAAGCCTTCCCAGCCCTGATGTGCAGGAGTCTCCTGAGAAGCCACCGGGACGAGGGGCTCCGCCAGGGGCCTCCTGCTTGTGTGCTCGTGGGCACCCTTCAGATAGGAACGGCCCTTTGAATGCCACAAGCGGCAGCGGCGCCCTTGGCACACACACACACACACCCCCGCCTCCACAAGCAGCCACGTGGAACAGTCCGTTTCTCTCCAGTGCTTCAGGGGCGCACAGCCTAAGCCCCCAGGGGAGGCTGGGTTCCCTGGCGGGACTCCCGAGAGCCCCGTCCTTCACTGGTGCTGTCCTTCCTCCCGCAGGGTGCATGATCTGCCTGGGCCAGTCGACCTTCCTTCGGTTCAACCATCCGGCTGAGGCCAAGTGGATGAAGAGCATGATCCCCAGTGCGGGGCGAGGCCCTGCAGCAGCCCAGCAAGGACTCATGCCAGGTAGGAGGCTTGTCGGAGACTTCAGGCTGCGCGGATTTGGCGGGGGCTGGCGGGGCCACGTGGCAGCCCCCCCCCCCCCCAACATGCTGGGCACCGGCACCTGATTCTGCCCGTTCAGCCCTCCTCCTCCTCCTCCTCCTCCTCCTCGTTCCTTGGCCTTGAATCCCGGGACTGTCTGAAGTTGCTCACCCTCAGGAGAATGGCGCATAATGTGTGCCATACAGGTAGGTGAGACTCTCTGACTCGGGCCAGGGGTTTGAACTGGTGTGCTGTGTTGCGGGCTGCAAATTGCAAAAAAAACCCAACCCAACCCCATGGCCTTGACTGCTGCACCTGGTGCCTCGTGTAGAGTTGAGGTTTTGGGCTCCTGGCGGGAGTCCTACAACAGCACCCACCGCGTGCTCAGAAGGAAGGTCTGACCTGGCACAGATCGAGGCAGTCTCTGAGAGGGGCAGGAGTGCTGCAGCAGTGGCTGGAAGGGAGGGGGGGGACAGCATCCCCTCCTGTCTCTCCACAGAGGCCCAGAGCCCGAGGAGGAACGGCAACCCGGAGGCCACGAAGACTTCCCGGCACAGCCCGAGCGCCCTGGTCAGCTCCATCGAGCGAGACCTGCAGGACATAATGGACTCCCTGGTGCTGGACGAGGAGGGCCTCTCCACCAGGCAGTCGCCGGCCAGCGCTCGGTCCCCGGACTCCTCCGTCGTGAACGGCCGGGGGGGCCGCTCCCTGCTCTCCCCGCCCCAGAGCCCCAGTGCCATGTCCGTGGGCTCCAGCTACGAAAATGCCTCCCCACCCTTCTCGCCACTCTCCTCCCCTGCGAGCAACAGCAGCGGCACGAGTCACTCCCCTCTGGGCCAGGATCCGAGCCCCGCAGTCCCACCCGTGGTCCCCGTCCGCTCCTCCAGCTACAACCACGCCATGCTAACAACGTCCCACAGTGGGCCCGGCCTGGAGCTCCCCGGCAGTCCTGCACGAGGGACGGGGGGGAGCCCCCGGGTGGCACGCAGAGCCATGCACGACGCGCCCCTCAGCCCCACGCCCTGCCGTAGGGCCCGGCCGTCAGTGGAGAGCGCCTGCCCCGGCCAGCGCGTTTCCCCTCCCCCTGCACTGCCCGTCCCCAGGAGTGAGAGCCTGCCGGGTGGCGCACGCTTGGAGTCAAAGTTCCAGTTGCCGTCCGTGCCACAGTCCAAAGCCGGGATGCTGCAGGAGAGGCCCCCCAGCCCCTTCCGGGAGTCCCGAGACGTTCCCGCCAGCCCCTCCCGTCCAGGCCCCGGGAAAGGCTCCCAGACCCCAGAGGCAGCAGGAGCCGCGCAGAGCCCGCCATCGGGCCGGGGGCTGCAGCCCCCTGACAGTCCGCGGCTGGGCAGGCGGACCCTGGAGAGCAGGCGGGACCTGCCCCCCCTCAGCCCAGCCCTGTCCCGCAGAGCAGCCTCGCCGGTCAGCCACCCGAGCCCCTCGCCGCAGAACCCCTGTGCCCGGAGGAGGGACCCTTCGGACGGCCTCTCTGCCGCCTCGCTGTCCTGCCTGCGGGGCCGCAGCCCTTCGCCCACTTTGCCGGCTGGGGAGCAGCGCAAGCCCGGCTGCGGGGTGGGCCTGAGCCCTGCCTACAGCCTGGGCTCCCTGACGCTGCCCACCGCCTCCCCGCACCAGAGCCCCCGGGCCCGCCGCAAGATGTCCGGGGAGCTGCCGCTGCCGCCGGGCCCCATGCGGGAGCGCAAGCGGAGCATCTCGGAGCTCAGCAGCAACGAGGGCGACCTGCTGCAGTACCACTGGTGGCACCGCCAGGAGCGGCTGCGGGAGCAAGAGATGGAGCGCCTGGTGAGTGGGGAGGGGCGGGGCGGGGGGTCGCTGGCCGCTGCCCACCTGGAGCCTGAGGGGGAGGTCGTGTGCCTGCAGGCGGCGCGGAAACCTGAACAGGCAGCCATTGGGGGGGGGGGGGCCGTTTGGAGCAGGCCTGCAG